AGGACTGGRCACAGCATTCCAGCTGCAGCCTCACCAGTGCTGAGCAGCGGGGAAGGATCAGCCTCCTTCAGCTTGCTGACAGCATTTTCCCCGCTGTTGTCCAGGCTGTTCTAGCAGCTAGGATCAGGAGTGCACTTCTGAAACACATTTCACAGTCATGTCAACGTAGGATGCTCTAGTTGATTTGTCTGAGTAATGCAAAAAGATAAAATGGGGAAGTGGTTTTTCAGTTTAAACTAGGTCAAAACATGTATTGTAGTACTTCAGATATGTGGCCTCATACCTAGAGTCTGTCTGCATGACCTAAGCACAACTAGCCCAAAGTAGATAACACTGTCTTGTGCTTTATTAAGATCTCAGTTGCTGTAGATCTTGTAATTAAAGCAGTTTTTCTGTTTTAATTAGAAATATTTTATTTTTATTAATTAGAATATAAAGACAAAGAGTTGAAAAATACTSATAGTTTAATGTTGTGCAACATTGTCATTGTGACAAATCATCATGACGAGATTGTGGTCTTCTATTCAGATTTTATAAGAAACCAAGGTTGGTCCTTCAAGCACTCTGAAGAATGGTAGTATAAAAATAATCATTTCTGAAGATTTGTAGTAGATGTTACTAGATTTGTAGATTTGTTTTGTCCTCCAACCTTAATAACCTAAATACTTTTTTTTACTTGAGATTTCACTGTTTTGTCCATGTAGTTTGTTACTTTTGCAAGTTTCTATTGTTCAAATAACAGTGAATGTAATGTAGTTTACTGTAGGTTTCAGTAACTTTAGGTAAAAGACATACATTTGAATTGAGATAGTGTCAGGTCAAAACAATCTAGCATGTAATCATTTTTAGGATTTAAAGGATTTAAAGGACTGTAAAAGAATTTGAGGGGAGAAAGAGGTTATTGCATTGTTTCTATTAAAATTCCTGTGTAGTTCTTCTTTCTCACCAGCTCCCAGCTTTCTCTTCAAGAAGTTTTTTTTTTTTAAACTTATATTTGTCCCTAAAGTAATTTTATTTCAAATTACTAAAAAAAATCATTTGCTTCCTAAGGAAAACTTGTGTGTTTAAGTTGATGCTGTCGGTCTTATTCTTTCTCTCTTTTGCCAGTTTCCTCCTGCATATGATGTAGAGGGAGTATACATTCAACGTTTGTTTCAGTGATATTAAATCTATTTTTGAAAGTATTTTAATTCAGTGTATTCAGACAACTTTCATTTTGCCAAATAGAAAAAGCATATATTTATGGTCTGCATAGGAAAATTATGTGAGTATTGTATCATCTTCCTGAAAGGAATAATAATTCATTTTTCTGTGCAGAGGCATTCTTTTTGAAAATACTTTTGCAGTATTTTCAGTATAATTCAGTTTTATATTTGAGTTCCTGTTCCCACACAATTATATTTCAGCTGTTGTTTTGCCTGTACCAAGTAGTTAACAAATATTTTTCTGTCAGTAGTTTGAGAGCAGGGAAAAAGAGAAAGCTGTAGAGTCTGAGTGATTAATAACTTATGGAGTGAAAAAGTTTTCATCACTTAACCAAAAGCAAAATTTGGATTAAGCGATGGCAACTATTTTGTTACTGTTTTATGTTACTTATGGAAAATGTCAATGAAAAGTATTGAAAACATTCCAATCCTTAATATTTTTTCTGTAATAAAACAGAATTAAATATGTGTGGAGAAATTAATCCTGCCAGGCAAGGAAAGATAAAGATAGCCAGATAGAATTTAGAAAATAGAATCAAGCTATTGTGTATACTAGCTGGCTGGAACTTTTGTTCTCCAGTATTTTCACTTGGCAAAGAGTTAGTTTAAAGTTAGAGTTGGGGGAGTTTCAGTTTTTATCCAAACATAAATCTGGAATAACTTACTGTGTATTAGGAATGAATGTCTGGCACATACTAAAGACAAAATACTCTGAAATTGTGCTATGTATTAGCAAAGGAAAAATAACGTGGTATTACGTGACATAAATAAAAGCAGAGAAGTTCCTGTAAAGCTCACTGTATAATTCCTTCCAGCACACCCACACTTAGTATTTACTGAACAAAGATTAAGGGCAACAAATCAAGACATAAATTTTGTAGTTGTCTTGGCAAAACATTTTTCTGGGAATGATTACTTGCCAAGTCTTTATGAATCTGAAGATATATGCCCTGTCTGAAAACTGAAAACTCTCTTTTAGTTAATAATGGGCAAAACAGTTTTGTCGTTATGCATGAAAGATTAAAAGTGACTTTAGCTCTACTTGCAACATTAATATTTAGACATTAGGTATAAGTAGCCTCCTGTACCTCTTCAGTGCCATGCTTCTTGCATGCACTACTATATCACGTTAAAATCCTTTCTGCTGCCTGATTTATTTAAATGGAAGGGAAATTAGGAGAGTAGTAGAGTATCTGTGGATGAAGCCAATTGCCTAAAACAAGTTTAAAAGGAATTGGTAATAGCTCTTATTTATTTGTTTCCAAGTGTTCYAGATGCTCATTGAAAAGAGTGAATAGAAATGAAAATTACAAGACATTTCCAAGAGTACTTGCATTTTTCAAATGATTTCTGCTTCGATTTTGAAAACATGAAAACTTAGAGCTACAACCTATGGTTTTGTCTGCAGTCTAGCTGGTCACAGAGGAAAGTGATTATGAAGGGTTATCAAGCAAGTAGCTTCTGAAAGTCTAGTTCGGGTTTACAGTCTGATTTGGTCATCAAGGACAGACACTATGCAGTATTCAACTTGGTTAGAGTTCTTCATCAAAAGCACTTCAAAATCATTTTGATGTGGTGATATCTCGAGTCATTTAAAAATTTAAGTGCTCTTTTTAAAAAAACAGTTTATTTGACTGAAATACAATTGTAATACAGAATACAAGAGTATCTCATTCTGGGGTATCCATAGTATTTAGGAGATTAACTCCGTGCTTTTAGAAATTAAGCTATTTGCTTTAAAACAGGATTTATGTGGCTTCAGCAAGCACAGTAACAGTGCATTCCATTGCCTCTGCAGGATTATAGAAACCAGAATATCAGGATTTAAAGGAATGTAAATAGTCTATTTTTTTTTTTAATAAATGAGGAAAGTTCTTAATGTCTGGTTTTCTTGACAACCAGAGATGTTGAAGGTGGTGGACATTTAACCTCTTGTTTGGGGGAGGTCCTTGCCACTGAGACTTCCTGTCAGGATAAACATGGAGGACGGTTTTCTGACCGTGAGTTGCCACTTTAAAATTTCATTGATGATATTAACACAAGAAATTGATGATATTAACACAAGAAAAAAAAATTTGCTCCTTGTTGAGTATTGGGTGTTGACATGAGTTTGCCCATCTGCAGTCGGATGTAATAGATGTCCATGGGTAGGCCAGAGCAGGTGTTATTTCAGTCTCCATCATACATGCTTACTGTAGTATTTGTGTGGATGGTATTACCATAAACTGCACAGAAATGAAAAAGTAGATACAAGACTTTGAGCACCTAAGCTGACAAAAGTAGTCATGAAAATAACATGTTCTTACATATCACTTTCATCTAGAATTAGAGGGAGTAGAGATGACTGTCAAAAGATGCAAACATAGGAAAAAGTGTTTGGATTTTTTTTTTTCCTTTAAGAATGACACGTCATAATAATATACAAAAATGTGAAGAGTTAGAAGTAGAGGATGGGCAGAGAAGACAAACCTTTTTGTCCTGTTTGTCACAAGGCAAGGGGATACTTGCTTAAGTTAAAATGTTAGAGGAGAGGCTACTCTTCCTTGACTGATTATTTCTTTTGGATTCACTTGCGCTCTTTATTGACAAAGCTTTTTTACTCTACTGCTTCTCACCTGCTTTTGACCTAGACCAGCATCAAGTAAAGCAGTGATGCTTAAGTGTTTTTCTTAGCAACATTTTGTGATTGGTGTCCTTCGAATTGTAGAGAGTATGCTTAAGAACAGATTAATTTTCTTCAGTTTCCTTATTTCGTGAACTGAGCTTGATGTTCCAGATGATTTTTGATTGGCAGGGTGTGTTTGCATTTCATGCCCTGCAGGCTGCCTAGTTTTGCATTAAAACAAAGTCGTTGAATCAAAAATGGTTTGCTTCCCTCTGTGAAGGCTCCCTTTCAATACTGAATGCTACTAGTTTGTCTTGTTCTGGCAAGAATAGATTTTCACAAGCATCGTAGCCTTGCTCACCACCATTGTGGTGCTAGTTGGAGTGGATTTAACTATAGTTTGGCTGATATTAATAGTCTCTGTGTAGAATTTCCCAATTTGTAGTATCTGTAGAGCTGCTACTCTGAAGCACTTCCATAGTTCCAGGGCAGTGTTTATTGAGAGAGACTGAGAACAGCCCTCCAAGCTTCCATGACGTGAGGACTCTTTGGCACATTGATCCCAGAGTCCTTTGTAAACAGGAAAATGATGCTGGTGAGGAACACTGCTTGAAGTCACCCATAATGTAAATTTGTATATAGACAAGAAAAACATGTTTCTTATCTGTAACTATTGTTCTTTGACCTATGCTCTCTGTGTTTAAAACTCATTCCTCTGCCGTAGCTCACTGGAGTTGCCTGAAGGGGTCTTTGAGTTTTGCTTGGTTTCTGAAATCCTGCAAGGGAAGAGGGCTGGCTTTTTAGGGCGACAGAGGGCAGATGATCTGTGGATGGAGATCTTTTGCAAAAGCAGTTAATGTTGCTTCATAACAATGCAAACATTATCAATTTGAAATCAGCAGGAATATTCATTGTGAAAAATGAAAAATAAAAAATAAAACTCAGAATAATATATTGATTGCAGCATTTCTGCAAGACTGAGCATATCCAGATTTAACAGCTAGCACTCAGTAGCACTATGGAGGAGTCCGTTAAGCAGAGATTGTTAATGATTGTTAATGTCYGTTGTTAATGAGATGTGTTTTGTCCCTCAGATATGTTGGGGGAGGGAGAACCGTTACTTGCTTTGATTTTGAGTTTTACCATAGATTCACTGTTTCATATTCTCTCTTTTTTTGTCTCCCCTAAAGGTCGTTTGTATGCAATGCAAACGGGGATGAAGATTGATAGTAAAACCCCAGAGTGCCGTAAATTTTTATCCAAACTTATGGATCAGCTGGAAGCGGTGAGTAGTATTCATTGCTTTTCTCTAAAGTTACTTGTGGTATTACTTTATTTTCCTTTTAAGCTTCTGCAAGTCTTTGATGCATATATTCTGTATGCAAGCATACTGTGTATATTTTTCAAGTTGTATATAATTGTGGGAAGGGATGGAAAGAGATAAAGCTCTCATTCACTCTCTTGCTTCTTCTCCCTCTTGATGTCTCATTACAACCAACGCTATCTTGTAATTTCGTTTAGGCTCTATGAATTATAAAGATACTGTATTCACACATAGTCTTATGAGAAACCATATCATTTATTATGAAGTAAACACATGCTTTTGAAAAAGCCTTTTTATTGATTTTTTTTATCCTTGRTTATATTAAGCCTTTGAGAATTATTCTCTTTTCTGTAGTAGAGGCTAGCCTAGTCTTCTGTGCTTTTGTAGTTTTTGTTCCAAATTTTTGTACTTAGGGAGAGTAAGATTTCTGATCTTATCTTCCTTTAGAGGTTGGAGATGTTACAGGTCGTTTTTGTTCCAAATTTTTGTACTTAGGGAGATTAAGATTTCTGATCTTATCTTCCTTTAGAGGTTGGAGATTTTACAGGTCGTACGCAAATTCTTATAAGCACAGTCTTATCTGTGCAGATAAAATGTTGGTAAGCTAAGTCTTTTAGAGGACCCCCCCAGAAACCCAAAACATTAAGTAGAGTTAAATTAAGAAAGGAAGGTACAAACACTCAGTTTAACTTCAGGTAGCTGTTTTGTGTTGATATTTTGTAGAGTAGTTTTCAACAAGTAGTGTATGGACAAGGAGTTAGTGCATGGGCATTAAGATTTGAGGACTTTTGTGGAACCAGAAAAGAGCAATGAAAAATGGAGCAGAGGTACTTTTCTGTTCAGTTTTGGTGTTTCTTTTCAGTTTTGGTGTTTCTGTTCAAAATCTAACTGTAGTAATGCTTGAAGAATTCGTGTGTAACTAGTGAAAAGGTCTTCAATTCTTTTTTTTTTCCCCAAATGAACATGAATCTTTTTTACTTGTACCTGCTCTCTGTGGGTTTTTTTCCAATGATTTTTAGCAATCAAAAATGTAAAATGAARTGAATCATTGGTGTATTGTTTCATGAAATTTCAACATCCTTATGACTCTGATTTTCATACTAAGGTGGAAGAGGTGGCAGGAGAGATGATATTAAAACGTGAGAAGATTTTCATCCTCATTTCCAGAGGATTATTCACAGTTGCTGTATCAGTTAGACTAGCTTCTGCAGTACGATATCTGCAGTGGTCATTTTCCATTTCAAATATGGAAAGACCAAAACAAACAAACAAACAAAAAGCAGCAAAAACCCTCCAGCATCTGTATTAAGTGTGATTTGTCTTTCAGGTCCTGGTAAGATTGTCTGTGTGGCAACTTTTAGAAGGGGGAGTATTTGTGCTTCCTGGCAGATGGCTTGYTTTGTAGTCAGTTGTTGAGGTTTATTCTGTTTAGCCAGAATTCTGTTTAGCCATTTCTGGTTAGAAAGCTGGAGAAGGCCCTTCTAAGCAGTTCAAATAGAAAAAAAAAATTGGGGTATGGCGAGGGGGAAGCTAGTTGGAAGTTTGGACACCGTAAGAAGTTTGTCTGTTAACATCTCGGCAATAATTTGCTAGTGGCCACTGTCAGACAGCGGTTAACCTGCAGGGGGCAAGTAGGAGTTTTGTAAGTCTGTGCTAAAGGTTTCAAACAACTGTATGTCTGTGTGTAGACAGAAGCTTGGAAACATTTCTGAACTTTATACTCACAAAGAATAAAACAATGTAAATATTTAGAAATTACCAGTTGCTTTTGTTGTGAGACACTTCATAATTTCCAGTGTGTGTAGTTAGTTATATATAATGGGTTTTGTATCTAAAATGTGTATGTTCATCAGAAATATTTTGTGAAATAGAACTGCTTTGCTCTTTTCATAGGTAAGTATTTAAAATAAAAGTTTGTGCTAAARTTAAACTCCATTTTTATGTTCAAAATATGACTCATAATTAAAAACATAAGAAATGAAGTACTGAATTACAGATTGCGTAAAGGGTTATTTCAGAAGCAAACAACCAGTACAACTTTTGTATTTTTAGGCATGTATGTAACTGTCATTTGTGCCTTAGAAATGATGTCCAGTGAACATCAGATTGAATGTAGTGATAAGTTATTTTTTAGGCATAAGCTGTGTCATCTCAGTGAACTTCACCAGTGCCTCATATCAGACATACATTTTACAACTTGTCTTATGATTCACCCAACTGGAAAGAAACAGAATTACATGTTCTAAAACACTAATAAAGACACTATGTAGAATATGAATTCAACAAAAATCTGTTAATTTGAAGCATTATTCAGAATGTTTCTGTTTCACTACTGAAGTCGAGTAACTTTCTTGACAATATTCTCTGCCAAGTTTGACCGCACTGTAAAAATTATTACAGAMGTGCAGTCTGTGTGATTAAATTTTCTTCACGTTGACACATGAAAAATAACTGCCATACAGAGATTGTTTTTAAAATCTTCTGGCAAAGTAAGGCCTGCAGGTTAGTATCACGCAGTGTTCCTGTGTTTGTTCTCTAAGGATAGCTTGAGATTTCTGTATGTGCAAACAGTAAGCCTATTCAGAAGTTGTAAATCCACCTGTTGTAACTGTAACAGTGTTATTTGCTTTACAGATTTTTATTAGGAAACCTGAGGCTTCTTGTACTCTAGCATCTTTGAAAAGAGGTCTTTGAATTGCAATACACTGCTTACACTGAAAATTCCAGTAAATCTATAGGTCACTAAACCAGTCAAGGTAGGACTGGGACTCTTTAAAGTTGTAATGTGCTGTAGTGAATATCTTACAAGAGAGAGAAGACACATAGTAACTGTGACCTAAAGTGCCTTTATAAAGCAAACATTAATTATTTTATCAATTTAAGTGTGTTGAATGGGGATTCAGGCTTCAGAGTTCTTGGGATTTCAGATAGTAAAGAAAAAAAAAAGAGTAATTATTCTTCTAGAATACTACAGTTGCGTGTTTTTATCTTTAAGTTAGTTGTTATTTGAAGTTTTTCTGTATTAGAAGATACTATTCAGAACTACTAATTCATAATATTTTTCTCTCCAASAAATTATATTTTTCTCTTTGTCATGCTGCTGCTACTTTTAATTACGTTAGAAGCTGTAGATATATAAAAATATTTAGTATATTGTTTCCTTTTCTAAATCTTGCTTGGATTCAACTGCAGCATATATTTGAATTAGATTGTAAAATTGCTAGTGTCTACGACGGTAATGAATGTCTATTTTTTCAACTTTTTTTCAGATGAAAAAGCAATTTGGTGATAATGAAGCTATTACTCAGGAAATTGTTGGTTCTGCTCATGTGGAGAATTATGCTTTGAAAATGTTTTTGTATGCAGATAATGAAGACAGAGCTGGGCAGTTTCATAAGTAGGTGAAAAACCTTTGTTTTGTTGCCTGAATAAGATGTTTGTAGGAAATTTGAATTTACCCTCTTAGTATGACTGGAAGCAGAAACTCTGCTTCCAGTTCTGCTTCTGCTTCTGCAGAAAAACTCTGTACATTCATTCTCTTTTGGAAGTTTCCGTTGTTTACTACTTCTGTTTCCTAACTTTGCACGCTGTTACTCTCATTGTCTTCTTGAAGAGGCCGTCCACCTTCTGGCGAGCTTTCTAGGGTCTGAGACTGATACTGAAGTAATGTAGGATGTCTAGTGAATGTTCCAAATTAGAAATCAAGTGCAAAATGTATAAGCAACTTATAAAAAAAGGAAAAAAAATACTGAAAATTTTCTGTGTACTAGTCAGGATATTGTGAAGAGAGTTTGTAAATGTCTGATTAAAAGGAAAAATACCAATGATTTGTTTTAAATCAGCCAGTATAATCTTAACTGCCAACTTTTAAACTGTGCTTCTAGAAGACTGATGTTACCAAGAGATTGAAATGTTTTCTTTTTTTTACAGAAACATGATAAAGTCCTTTTATACGGCAAGTCTTCTGATAGATGTTCTGACAGTATTTGGGGAGCTCTCTGAAGAGGTAAGTGTTAAGGATACCAGTGCATTATCTTACTGCTTTTCGTAGCACAGGAGCACAAGTTACTTCTTTTAGTTCCTTGAAAGATTCTTAAAATTTATAAATATAAAATTCAGAGACCACCAATTTTAATTGCATGGTCGGATACATGAKAGTAAATCATAAACATTTTTTCTAAGTATTTGTATAAACTGCATGTGAAATGCTAGATAATTGTGATCTATCAGCCGATGCTTTATGAGTTAACAAGATTGTATCAAATTCAAAGTCTAACCATTATTATGGGACAAAGCATTGTACTGAACAAGTATAAGTGACTGTAGGGAGAAATAATGTAAGGTTTATGGTCTTTTCCATCTTCACCTTTTTCTTCTTCAGCCTGTGAGGAAGAACTTTTTATAGTGGTAAKAGTTGGAATTGTTTATTTGGGATACTTCTGATGTTGCAACAAACTGCCTTTAGAAGGTCATATATAAAGTTGGAAGGCTAAAAATTTGTTTCAGAAAAAGTGACTTATTATCTGACCTTTAGGATATTGGTATTCTAGTTAAAAAAATTCATTCCCTAAAGTAACTAATGCAGTCCCACTTTTAGTGCTCTTTGTGGCAGTTTATTTTTTTGAAACAATATTCTAGAATTAGCTGAACAAGATTATAATTTTTTTTTAAGGCACACCAAAATAATTTTAAGATCTGTTATAAAGTTTTTCTACTAGCTGCATGGTCAGCTTCCATCTGCTATTCATGCTGCACAGGAGAATTAGTCTCAAACCTGCAGGAACAGATACTCTTAATATAAAAATGTATTCTCTGTTCTGGAAAGTAAAGGTTGAGTGTTCCTTGCTAAATTAAATGAATGAGAAACTTATTTGAAAATGTAGTGGAAAAGTTGAAAACATTTGGCAAGGACAAAAACTTATAGAAAGCTGTTACTGATATGTTTCAAAGATGGTCAAAGTTAGAATACTTCAAAAAATAAAAAATATTCAGCAATATTCTGAGACCCAGTCAGCACCTGTTGATCACATAATGCTTAATGTGTCCCAGGATACCTAAACCCGCATAAGTTATGCATAAATATTTTGATTTTTCGCATACTGRCGTGATAATAGTCTTCTATATTTCCACTAGTTAAAATTCCCTTAGAAAAGATCTGTTAGCTTGAAAATGTATAACAAGCTGTGATTGTGAATGATTTTGATGGTGATGTGCTTAATGTATAGTAGTGCAATAGAATACTTGAATATAGCTATTGATAGAGTTCTTTCCAAGTAGAGAACGCTTGGATTCTGTGACTTTCATAGCTTAAAACTATTTCAATCTAATTTTTTATTATTGTTGTTAAAAGGACAATCATGCAATCATGCCTTTTAATTTATGAAGCAGGATATCATCTCATTTTTAATTAATTGTGCAAACATTATTAAAATGCTGAGTAGTACTGTGTAGAAGTCATTATGAAGCTCTGTGTTTAATAGAGTTATTTTTATTTACCTCAGTAATAATCTTCCTAAAGGAGTGCACTCTTTTAAAAAATAGAGCAGCGCTATAATCGAATGGAGGGCAAAAAGAATCCTTAAAGCAGCACAATTTAGACTCTCAGTTTTGGAACTGTAGTCTTTGCAATTTACATACATAATGACACACGAGTCTAACAGGTTTCAATTCCTTGGCTATAAATAGTAATGCTGTTTAGTAGAATTCTTCAAGATGTATTATTAATCAGTATCAGAAAGAAAATCTCTTTATAGTAAATTCCAGATTACATTTTTTAATGTAATCAAAATATTCACTGCAGAAGTAGAAATTCTAGACAGTGGTCTTTCTAGTATAGTTCTAGTTGTTGTTTCCATGAATTCTGGGKTTTTTTTGCACATTTTAGAGAATACATAGAAATACTGTCACATATACAGATTTTTCAATATAAATGTTTTGACTAATGTGAATCRTGGATAAAATGTTGGTGACGGGATAGTGTTTGCTGTGCTCTTGCAAATCATCCATTGAAAACCGATAAGCTGACTTTATTTGAAGCACAACTTTTTTGAAAGACAATTTAGACTCTGCAAAAGTGTATTCTGTAAATTACAATTTAATGCAATGGAAGGTTTGACATAATAATGATATTAGCATAAATGGTGAATTCTGCTGAGTTCTAATTCAATTATATYATTCTGCAGACCACTTCAGGTAGATGTCCGTAACGTGGTGGTCTTTAGAATGTCTTCAGTATTTAGTAATAGAAATATTGAAGTTGTGTCATGTAACATTCTATCTTTTGAGCAAAAACTGGTTCTTAATCATTTTAGGCTGTATTCAACAATGGGAAAGCAGAGAAAAGATACAGTGTAGTTTAGCTGTTCACCTGTACGTTGTTGCTGTTGTTTTTTAAACATCATTATAAAGTCCTTTAAGAAATTTAAAATTTGTAGCTGCAGTTGAATTTTAGTTGCATAACAGCCACATAGGAGAGAAAGAAAAATAGAGAATATGTGTTTGTTATACAGAAGTACGTATAGAAAGAGAAATTTTTAAAAAATAGCATCTCAGTCCTGAGATCTTATACTAGAATTTAATATATTTTTTTGCATACTTTTTATTTTATATTCTTCGTCTTATGGAGTGTCTTGATTTATGTTCCTGCTTCAGGGTGTTAATAGCCAAACATTTTATCTATAAAATRTAAATGAAAACTGCTTTTATACCGCATCTTCAGTTTCTTAAAATAGCAGTAATAAAATACTTTTGTCAAGAAGTAGTTGTATTATTGGGATCAGAGAGGAAATATACACATATTAAATATTGTATAATGTTCTTTTAGAGAAAAAAAAAAACCTTTTCTTTGGAAATGTAATTCTGCAGTTTGTGGCTTTTAAATTTTGGTGAATTATAAAATAATTGCATCTGTAACCCTCCCTGGCCAGCAAACGTGGATAAAAGAAAGCGTCTTATAAAAAGCCATGACTTTCTATTGATAGTTTTCCTCTCTGAATTAAAGAGATTGTACTTATCTGTCTTTTAGATTGCAATAATTTCAGAGATTGCAATAATAAATAATAAATAATAAATAATAAATAATAAATAATAAATAATAAATAATAAATMATTCTGTGTTTTCAGAATTCACTTTTTTTCTACTATATTAACCTTCTTATTTTCATACTTTAAATATCTAATTGATATTTAAAACATGTTAATAAAAAAAAAGTCAGTATCCTTCATCAAGAGGAGTAGGATTATCAGTTTCAGATAATTTAATTCTGAAGTAAATAGTCCTCTATGCTTTTGGAAACATGAAGTTTTGTTTATTATTTTACATTAGTAAAATAATTATTTTACATTAGTAAAATAATTACATTAGTAAAATAATTACTCAGTAATTATTACAGAGTGCATTGTGCATTACAGTACATAGTTTTGGTTAAATTTATTTCCTTTTCCTTATTTGCTGCACTGCTTGGAGATTTTCGGGTCTTCTTTGCTTGCCAAGATCCCCTTAGAGTACTTCTTTCTATATTTCAATTCACTGAATATTTCCCATGAGTCATTTCAGTTTTAAGTGATGTCAAATGATAGCAGAGCAAGTGGTTTAGGTTTTCAATCTCTTGCCAGAGTAGAAGGCCTCTCTATATTTTTTTTTTTTTGAATGTGTTAAGTCACAGAAATGAGCAGTTAAAATATCTGACCTTTTACTCTCCCAGAATGTTCAGCACAGAAAGTATGCCCGATGGAAGGCAGCATACATCCACAACTGCTTRAAGAATGGAGAGACTCCGCAGCCTGGACCCATTGGAATGGAAGCGGAAGGCTTTGGTAGGTATTTTGCTTCTTGTATGTAAAAACRCAACTGGGCCGAGCCCAGACTAAAATGGTCGTAATACTTTTCTTCAGGGAGCATCTAACAGGAAGTATAGCTTCCCTGTTTAATGTTTTGCTCATGATGGGTCTTTTTTCTGCTTATTCATTTGTGCTTCTTTTACTGTTGTTTCTAGTGGACTTTGCTGCTTGATTTAGTTCATAAAACCTATATTTTTTTTCTTTGTAGCAGAGATTATTATCCTGAATACCGTTGTTGTYCAAAAAGCATTGTCACCTTTAAGCCAGAACCATGCATGTCTTTAACCTTACCTGCTCTCCTCCTTTCAAATCTTACGATTCTTTTTCCCAGTTTACTGGCATGCATTTGCTGATTTTTTTTGTTCATACACACACCCTATGTTGTTTAGTTTTCAGAACAGATTTTGCCTACTCTCTTTCAACTGAATTTCCTGACATTTTCTCATTCAGTAATTTTTTTCTCTTATGTGGTTTGTTTATTATTTTTATATTGCTGTTGTTGCCGTCTGTGTTTTGGCTACCAAACTTACTTACCAAGATGAAACTTTTTCAGAGCAGGTAGCTTGAAACCTCCCACACTATAGCTTTTACTGTGTTCTGTTTAATGAATTAAGACCTGTCTACACTCCACTGTTAATTTAGAAGTCTTAACTCTTTAATAAGAATAGTTAAAGGAATACATGCCATTAAAGCTTTCTTTTTTTTTTTAAACTGACACCATCAGAGTGAGCAGATGCAAGCCGAGTCTCCATCTGAAGTAACAGAGCACGCATCACCTAGCCTATCTCTGGCAAGTGCACAACTGTCTTACCTCATCCTATTCTGAGAAAGACAGACCAAAAGACACAGAAAAGCTGCTGTGTATATAAACTGTTTCTGGTTTTGAGTTGATGATATTACAAGCAAAATACATGCAAAATGTAATACATTGCAGAAATATGTCAGAATCAAAACAGTGTGTAATTGTGACATTTAACAAAAGGGTAATTTTCTAAACATTTTTACCCATTACTTGCCTCTTTGTATTTTTTTCTGTACTTAATGTGTTATGAATGACAATCATAACACAATCATAACTGCTTGATGACAATTCATTTCATTAATAGAGATGACTCATTTTTCCCACAGGTCAACTCGTAGCCTACGTAGTATACAGGACTTAGTGATTTGAATAATGTTAGCGAAGTTAATATTCCTTTCTCTCATTTAGCATAAACTTGATTTTAATTACATTATGTTTTCTAATTAGAAGCAACYGTAGATGTCTAAAGTCAACAGAATGACAGATTAACATCATAGTGAAGCAGCAGTATTAAATTCTGGATGATATATATGAACTCAATATGAACATATATATCTATTCATGTTGGAGTCTGTACTTTACTCCTCAGTGGATTTTGAGGTCTGAACCTGTAATTTAAAAACAGTGTTACGAATAGAATTGTGATTTTTTTATACAATGTTTTTTGTTATTTAAAACATATTAAAACATTAAGATGCTAGCTTCCGTCCTTCAGGTTTTCAGACTTTCTCTGCTATGAAGTCGTATTTTCAAGCTTCTTTCSTCTTTGTCTGTGAAGAAAGAGGATTATAAGAAATACATACTATTTGTATGAAATAGATGGTTCTTAACCACCTAAACATTGCTTTATGATTCTAAATTGTTCASGTATATATGGAAAAAAAGAGTGAGTGAGGAGTGAGGGCTGAGGACTGAATCAGTAGAGAGGAGGACAGGGTAAGAGTGCTTCTGAAGTTCAAATTTAGCCCCCAAAAAATCTGAGAAGTGACTCTCCACAATAACTGCATTATCATTTATATCTTAGAGACAGCATTGCAGTGCAGTATAAAATAAATCAGACACCTTTATTCCATGTGTACCAAAAAAATCTATTATTGTTAGTCTTGATTAAGTGATTAAAAAAAAAAAAAAAAGAGAAAGAAAGAGGGAAAAAAAGGTACCTAAAAGACAGTTAAAACTCAAGTCTTCATTGCAGGCCATTAAAAGCAGTAGTAGAAATTTCATTACCAAATTATACTTACAGAAACCAGAGAGATGGAAATCCCGAGTGAGACAAAATTTTAACATCTATTTGTAGAAAGCCTGCAAAATATATGCATATCTCTATGTGTTTGTGTGTATATATATTTTTTATTTGTTGAGGTGCTGATGCATGCATCAGCATCATTTCTCACACCGTTGTTTTTCTCAGCAATCAAAGGAAAAATGGTTTTTGCTTTTTTGAAGATTACTGTGTGCCATAGGTGTCCATAATACTTTACACAAGTGAGGCAGAGATATTGTGCAAATTAATTTCTATTAGAAGATACATGCAAAATAAAAATATCAATTCTTGCTTTGTGCACCATATGAAGAAAAGCAGCATTGTTTGAATATATGACTGGACCTTGCCCATTCCTTTCTACTTGCTCATTTTCTTCCTCCTCTTGCAAGTGGAAAAAGTCTGTTTAAATAGAATGAAACTAGCTCTCTGTAACTTGACAAATTACCGTTTTTTTCCAAAGTGTTATTTTCTTTGTGATTCTTGAAAACCATACTGTAACTCTTGGAGACGTTTTTACAGTAACATAGGCATACTTTCTATACTTCTGCTGTTGGATTTATGGATGCTTTTGTTCAGATGCAGCCGTGGAAACTTGAAATGACATCTGTGGTTTATTAATGCAGTTGGAATACAAGTCTAGAGTACACATGAAGGTCATTTAAAGTAGCCCTGGGTCATYGAGTGAGTTTTGTACTAATGTGAAATAGGTAATTTCAAATATAAAAAAGTTTCTAAATGTGCAAAGTTTAGTTATCATGAAATGCATTAAATATAACCTCTTATATTGCAATATAAAATATAATATTCTACGTCTATATTGATGATTTCCGTGAAACTTCTACAGTCTCTGTTAGGATAAGGAATAGTGTACAATGAGCTAGTAAGTTTTTGAGTCCCTTTCTTAATATTGTGAGATCTGTGTGTCTATACAAGCACACACACAAACACATATATACATCTATATGCATAAAAAGTAGTGTTCCTGGAGAACTTTGCATTCTGTGTCTATTAGCAACATCTCAAGTTATAGAGAAACAGTTTAGCAGAATGCAGAAAATAAAATTGTTTTAAGATTAATAGGTGATAACAAATACATTACATTTCTAAAACTCTAGACTCCCTAAGATTAGATTTTTACCATTTTCAATTTAGTTCTCTGGGCTGCAGATGTTAAATCCTAAGCATCACGTCTTTATGCTAGACTGTACATTTCCCTTCACCTCTTGTTACCCTTTGGCATTCTAAAGCATAGTMATTTGTAATGTACAAAAGACACTGATATCAGAATGATACTAGACAAACTGCTGCACAGTGCAGGCAGTGTTTTCATACAAAGCATATGCCCATTCGTAGTGATAATGCAGATTTGACAGGATGATTTAAGTACCTAAACACAGACTTCAGAATGAAAAAGTCACTGATCATATATATCAGATTGAAATCCATTGGAATTTTGCTGTCACTGTCACCGATTTGAAATGATATTTTGCTGAAGTTGATTATAAGACTGGAAATAGTCAAGTTTTGCTGGGTATGTATATCTTGTTATATAGTAAGATAATATATATAAGATTTGTGTTAAAGCTTGGTTTCAGGAAAAAAAGCAATATAAATGAATCATTTTCACTGAAAAATTTCTGATCAAATTAAGCAAACATCTGTTTGTAATGTTTGTAACTTCTGGCACCGTTTATGTCAGGACATAAAGGTTAACTTAATGAGTAATTAGTAACTTAATGAGTAATTAAGTTAGTGAAAATTATTAAATTGTTTCTGAAAGGCAATCAGAGAAAGAGATGGAAAAATCTCTACAGAGGTTTGAAACTTGGACAAAGAGTTATGCAGGAGATTGCTGGGCTTTTTAAATTTTTTTATTTCCTTTTTTTTTTTTTTTTCCCCCCAGGGATGGGCTTTTCCTGTCTCTAAGAAAATCCGCCAAAGATTTGTCCAAGTTCTTTGGGCATGCTGAAATTTCACAGCTGAATTCCCTGAAGGTTCCCTGTTCATGGAGCATCCTAAACCATAGAGATTATGCTGTTTATGCAGTTTTAATTCTGAGCTGSTGCCAATGGGAAACTGGCACTAAGAGCAGGAAGCTTGTTTAGTCTCTAGATTTGACATAAGAGGAAGAAGCAGCAGCAGCAGCTTCCCGATTAAGGGACAAAGGAACAAAGTCCAGGTTTCAGAAGTAAATATAGAGAGAGAAAACCAAGGGGCATTGAAAAGTACTGGCTTTGAAAYTAGGCTTGCCTGGGAAAGGAAACTAGGACTAGGGAATGTTGGGAATAAACTGAGGTAGGGTAGAGCATGTATTTGTGCAGGAATGACTGAAGGCCATGGAGAACTGATGGAGTTTGGAGCCAGACCTGGGAATTTCCTGGAAAGAAGGTCGGAAGGTAATGCAAGACTGGCCCAAGTATGGGGCAGGATGTTATGTCTGGGATATGAAATTCTGATGCAGAGACTGAGGAATCGGAATAGGAGTGAGGAGARAGGTTAGGGCACAAGGAGGCCATAAGGGCTGACTAAGGGAGAAGATGCGTAATATATATAATAAGATTTGTGTCTATGTAAGTACTTGCAGGTAATTTTTGGTAATTGACATATTAAGTACAGTGAAAGAATGTTTTTCCCCCTCTGACATTCTCTGACTTAGCCGTTTTTACATCTTTTACCAAAATAATAGCTTTAGTAAAGTGCAACTTTGCCACTTCATGGATTCAATTTGAACAAGCTATAACAACTGATAAATGTGTAACAGAGTTGGACAGCCATATCTTCAAAAAGCATTTTGAACAGTCATAACTATTTCATTAATCCTGGATAAATTAAGTTTCTTGAATTTTTTTTAAGTCTAACTATTTTCTGAAGTTACGTAAAAGCAGTTGTTTCATGAACAACAAAAACACTGAAAGCATCTATCATGCAACCACTGGGTTATTCCCATCATTATGTTGTTTAAAAGTAACATACTTGGTATTTACTTTTGAATCTTACTTTTTTTTTTCACCCCATTTAACACTTTAATATTACTTCCATTCCATGTTAGATGACATTAGAATATGAATTACTACCAAAAAATAGTGGAGGAAAACCTGGCACCGTAAGATGTCATTTGCCTTTCAAAAATCTGACAAGTCTTTCTTTGCATATGTCAGAAATCGCTTAAGAAAACTCTACAATGAATTACAGAATACAGCAAGTGCAAGTAATTTTTACTAGAGTAGGACTAATTTTGCCATGTACTGTGTTTTTCTGTTCAGTTTTAGTAACAGCACTTGACACGTCTCTTAATTTTTGCTTCTATATTTCTTTGCCTTTTTAACACTTCTAAACGAAAGTCCTTGCTATTGCTCTGTGAATCCAGAGATTTTGCTATTAGTACTAGGTTGCTGTGAGTGAAGATAAATTATTACACCTTTGCTCTAGAAAACAAGATCATATTCTCTAATGCTCTCTGTATTCAAGTTCAGTAAAAAGACCTATTGGTGATATTATTTACTCTTATTCTCATTTAGGTTTTTGTTATACTTAAGTGTGTTGTGAATTGGAGTGTATTTCATAAAGGTAGTATCTGATTTTTTTGGGAGAGGAGAGGGCATAAGACCTTAAAATGGTAGCATTTCTAATATTTATAATGGTAGTGTTTTATTCCTAGGTGGTAGAGATATTTGTATAATAAACTGTCTTGAATAACGAAGATGAGCAAAACTTTCATAAAGAATATACATTGTTTTGCCAGATTCTGTAGTCATGAAACTTGTGCTTCTGTATTCTTTTTTTGCTCCCTTTTCAGCACTGTCAATTAGCAAAACCTATTCCCAAAATTGTGCTTGTTTCATCTGACATCACTGATGCAGATTGATACATGCCTAGTAAATTTAAATTAACTTTGTCTATTTGAATTTAACAGAGATTTAGGAGCAGAAATGAATCAGTGAATTCGTTAGGTCATCAGAATGATATCATAGAATCATAGAATCACAGAATGCTTAAGGTTGGAAGGGACCTCAGAGGTCATCTAGTCCAACCCCCCTGCTCACGCAGGGTCACCTACAGCACRTGGCACAGGGTTGTGTCCAAGCRGGTTTTAAAGATCTCCAAAGAAGGAGACTCCACAACCTCTCTGGGCAGCCTGTTCCAGGGCTCTGTCACCCTCACTGTCACAAAGTGTTTTCTCAAGTTTCTGTGGAACTTTTGGTGCCTCAGCTTGTGGCCGTTTCCTCTAGCCCTATCACTGYCCACCACTGAAAAGAGGCCGSCCCCCTCCTCCTCACTGCCTCCCTTGAGGTATTTATASACACTGATCAGGTTCCCCCTCAGCCTTCTCTTCTCCAGGCTGAACAGGCCCAGTTCCCTCAGCCTTTGCTCATACGGCAGATGTTCCAGGCCCCTGATCATCCTGGTAGCCCTGCGCTGGACTCTCTCCAGCAGCTCCACATCCCTCTTGTACTGGGGAGCCCAGAACTGGACACAGTACTCCAGATATCGGAGTCAGATATCGAACCATTACTCTTGACGCCTGCAAAGCAATATTGAATAAACTAGACCGGATTAAGAACATGCTATTTATACATGCTGTGGGATATACTTAGCGTGATAATTTTTATAGGTACTCTAAATGCTCTAGGTAAAGTTACATCTCAGCTTAGTAACATTTAGTATCTTAGTGTTCTTGTTTGGTATTGCATTCTCAAAGGTCCTTCCTGTTATATGTTTGTATTTTATTACTTTATTTGCTTGCAGTGTCTACTTCAGTTGCTGTTAAAGTAGACATGGAAGTGAGGGGATTATAGTACTTAGATTACTCTATAGTCAGACTAGTAATGACGTGATCCTTCCATTTTAATAAAATATATTCTTGAAAGTATGTGAGCTGTCCATACTTACCCTGTGCTATATTGCTTTTACACTTCTTCAAATCAACAGTAAGTGGTTTAAGTCATCTTGTGAGGATAACTTTTCTAATTAAAGAAATAAGAGTTTTATAAACCTAAGTTCTCAGGTGCTTGTAAAGAAAGGAATTCCAGTAATTTCTGTTTGTATGATCTTAACAGATGCTGAAAGAGAAGAAGCAGGCTCGTCTCTCCACGGAGGAACAACTCAACCATCAGCATCATCTACCTATGAAGCAAACAACATACCAACTGGTAACTACACTGGCATTCATATACCACCAGGTGCCCATGCCCCAGCCAACACACCAGCTGAAGTACCTCATAACACAGGCATGTCAAATTTACATCCAAAGAAAAAGGCATTACATGTCTTTGTTGAGAGGAAAATTCCAAGATGACCTTCTTTTCATTACACGTAAAGTAAAATAATATATATGCTTGGTGGCGGAAGCAGCCTCATAAATGTATATTGTACAAATGCAATAGGAAATACTTTTTATATATGTGTGTTCGCATGTGATATTTAAAATGCATAATTAATGTTTTGGAACACTTGTCAGAAAGTATATATGGACTCAAGGAAAGTTTTCCTACAGATAGAAATTTTTTTCCCCTTAACAGAGGAATGCATTAAAGTGCGGTGGAGCTTCATTTATCTGCTAATGAGATTATGAACATATCAAATATAGTGTTGAAACTGTTGTAACAACCCTATAATGAACATACTCCATATACTGTTTGTATTTTCTGTTTGTTTTATGCTGCATTTTCCATTCCTAGAACTTCGAAGAGATTGACTTCTAACAGTAAAAATAATGGGTATTTTGTCCTTACTAAACATATTCACYCCTACACCCATTTTTGCTTTCTGCCATTTTTGGACTAAACATGGGGTTTTAGAAATCAAATGATCTTTCCAATGGCTGTATTTAAAACAGAGTTGCATTTAGATGATTTATGAACAGATAGTATCTCCTGATAACTTTAATTACAGTTACTAAAATTCAAAAAGTCCTTTTTATTTTCCAGTCCTGATGATATTTGATTGCCCAAGATGTATTTGTATACGACGTGGAGCTTTTTTCTTTTTTTTTCTTTTAAATTTTCTTATTTCAAGTATACGTCACATTGTGGAAACTTCAGGATGTCTTTTTTAAGGCTTTATCAACAGGAAATCCTAAAGATATGGAAGGTTTTTGTTTTTTAAATTCAGTTTAGGTAAATATTTATGCTTTATATTTGCCAGATATGAAAGCTAGAATGTAGCTTGCGGGCACACATGAGTTCTTTGCATTGTATTGCATTTGTGTTGCATTTGCATTGACTGCACCAGTCATTCCATGAAACAACAGATATCCTAAGAAAGATATTTTATCATCTCTCTATGCAGCAGATTCTTAAGAAATAGCTGTATGCTAATCTACTATGTTCTGATGCACTACAAAAAATATGTATAGTTCTGGATAAAATCTACATGATAATATCAGAAAAGCAAATGTAGATACAGGAATGCTTTACCACAAAGATGGGCCGTTTTCAGCCTCCCTGGCATCTCCCTTTCCTTTTAAATCTAGATAGCTTTTCTAATTTTTACCATTTTTTAAAGAATACTAATGAAAATTCTAGAATGAAATGACAAGCATGGTGCTTTAAGTTCTGCCTCTTAATATCAGAGGGAGGATGTCCTGTTTTGTTTTTAAAGTTGAATAAAAATATTTATTCTTCTCTTCCTCTGCATGTTTTCCTCAATACTCTAGGGTAACCAATGTCCTTTGGACCTATGTTTTATTTTTTTTTCTATGCTTGAAATCAAATTTCTGTGAATTGTTATACTGATAAATTCTTGAATACATTTTTTTGGAATATTTCCAGTCTCATGGAGGTTTTRTTTTGTTTGTGGGTGTCTTTTTGTTTAAGAGTGTTCATTCCAAATTTTTCGACTTGAGGAGCTATCAGCTGTTGAATCATTGAGTCATTATTTTTAGCTGTACAGTTTTATCTTCTTAATTTGTCAGATTTTTGCTTTTAAAAGCTATAAATCAAAATGCCTGAAGTGTTCTTTTTGTTTTGTTGATTTGCAGGTGTGACAAGTAACACCATTCAGCCTGCTCCACAGAATATTCCTCCGGTAGATCCTTCCCTATACAGTGCTCAATCTGCAGGTAAAGTGGTGCCATTTGTTCTGTGTGTCTCATGTCCCTGTCCGCATCCTCCCACTGTGATTTTCATCCCTTAAGAATTTTGAGAAATACGTCACCATTATGAAAATGCTGTCGATTCACAGACTTTAAAAAGAATGGACTGAAAAAGCCTTCTGTTTAATTAGAGGGATTTTATGTCTGGAGTTCAGTGTTTCAGCTTGATCTGTGTGTATTGCCATAACAATTTTCATAGAAAATGTCTTTAAAAGATTACAGAAAAATAAGACAATTTACCTTTGATAAGGATACATTCCCCATTGGTATTCTGTTAAAGAGCAAAAGGCTTATCCTACCATTTGACATATTGATAGAAGGTCTCTTAGGGTTAACTCATTGAGAGCAATACCTCAGAGTTGTAGCTCAGCAGTTAAATCTTGGTGTTAGTGCTGGAGTTCTTTGGGTTATTGTAAGGACTTTCCTAACTCCTTAAGCAAAGTGGCTGAATGCATTACTTAAGCTTGCACATGGCAACTGATAGTTGAAAAATAGGTTTCCTACTGTTTTGTCACTCAAAGCTTTCATATCTATAATCAGGTTATTGGGATCCTCTAGACAATCTTCCACAGATTTTTTCAACTACTCTGAAATTCCTTGTTGTATTTGCCTACTCTTTTGCTTATTTAAGAAAATAAGCAAAAAAGTTCAGAATTTTGAATTAACCTTTAATAATTAAATTTCAGAATTCCAGTATTTGGTATCTGAGTAGTATCAGTGCAGTGCTGCCTACAGTCACTTACCTCTAATAACCAGTTTTAATAAATATGTAAATACAGATAATAATGAATTAAGAAAATCTTGTATTTGTGACAGTTCATGATGACTGATATCCTGTAATTGAGAGGTTAAGACCTTTGCTAGCATAGTGATAAATTTCTGGTTTGATCTAACCTGACTATTCGCATGCCTGCATTCTTCTCTCCCATGTACTTTATTACCACAAGCTTGATTCTTCTAACAGCATTACGGGGTGTTACATTATGATTAAGTTTTTTTGCAAAAGTGCACTACTGGAAGGCAGTCAGTTCATGCAGCTCCTTGGGTGTGAAAGCTTTAGAAAAAAAATATCAATCAGCAGCAATCGAGTAAAACACAGTTTTGCTTGCACACCTAGAATTGAGAGGGTTGAGAGTGAAGGAAGGTGTTTGTCTTTGCCTGTCACCATCCTGTATCCCAACCAAACATGCCAGACCATTACCCAAAACATCCTCCCTTCAGCAAGCTGTCTCCACAGTATCGTCAGAAGTCATCCTTCTTGAGCTATTAAAAAGACCTTTTTACATCAACCAGTACTGTGCTCCAAATAGATGTGGAAATGCCCTTATTTTACAATGGATCTATTAAACTCTCAGACCCAGGAGCCCTCCCCGGTCCCTAAGTCCTAGTATGTACTTTGGCTACATCCTGACTGCATATTGAGGCTATAACTTTAATGTATACTGTACCTGTGGAAATGTTCTTTCCCTTGGGAGGCAGTAAGGGAGTGGTATTGCTCTCCAGTAGATCTCTAGAGCTAACACAGTGCAAAAAAAAAAAAAAAAAAAAAMCCACTTGCTTCATGATTTAGATGCAGTATGTATGTCTATAGTAATAAATTAAACATACCTGTAAATATTTGATATTGAGAACAGTTGGCACAGGGCCACTCACATCAATACTATTAAACTTTTAAACCTCCTAAACAAGGTAGTTCCTGAAGGCTGCCAATGCTGCATGGTCTCTAGCCTGCTCTAACCACAAGTTGTGCCCAGGAATTGTTTGGGAAAGTGTTAGCTAGCATAGGCCAAACCAGACTGAAGCCTGTTCCAGCAGTTTGACAGTGTAGACAGTCAAGTCCCAGTGCTGAGGCACATTCCCTGGCACAATTTAATGTGCTACTATAGACGTAGCCAAACAGGATATTCCACATATTCCTGCAAGACTGTTTGTGGTAGTAAGATCAAATGTATATTTTTAAAATAAATTATATATTTTCTTTCCTTCCCATAACATGGGAAAAGCAATTTGTTTAATGCTATGATGGGAGAATAACTTTTGGTGGGAAAGAGTGGAATATATTATCGAAATAAAACTAAGTTAAAGTAACAGCATTTCTTTGATTTTAGACAGTTCGAAGCATTCAATACATATCCTGTCCTACTGGAMTATATTTTCTTGTAGCATTTAAAAGTGTCAAAACTGAAACAATTCAAAGCCTTTCCTGTGCTRGTTACTGTGTATCTGCTAACTAAATGTAGAGCTATGTGGCAACTTTGTATAATATGTGCATGCGATTCTCTGTCTGGTTTGCTTAAAAAATTTATTGCCCCTAGATTTTGCTAACACTAAAAGCATTCATGGCCATGCTGCACRGAGCTTTATAAAACTTTCATATTCCCACATGCTTCCTTCCACAGGTAGCATAATATAGAGTTGCATGTATAAAGCTGTTTGATTTTTCGATATATAAAGTAGAAATAATAATTGTACATGTTTTATGATCTTAAGAAATCTTTAAGGATTTAAGTTCTGAGAATCTTAACTGTTTTAATGGGACAAAAGATTATCTGTTTTTAAAAATCATTTAAAGTATCACTTCTTTTTAAAAGTAGAACATTTAGTAATTAATGTTAAAAATTATGTTTGCCCTCACTGTTTGTAGGTACCATATTTCATTGAAATATATGCTTAATGACTTCCTTGCCTTTGGGCTATACATAAAGAGGAAAAAAAACTAAATAGAAATGGCTATCAATGCTCTTCATTCCATTCTTTTCCTTCTCACTGTGATTTTCTATCTCTCTAGTCAAAGTACCTTTCATTTTTCCCTCTCTATTCCTCCTTCTAAAACTAAAGAAATAACAATTGTTGACATTAATTATGAATTCCATGACTGTCACATTTCAGTAATAAATAYAACCAGTGTGCTAGTAGTGTTGTATTAGTACAGAAGCAGGCTTGTTTGAGGATAAGTGCAGCATATTTTTTTCTACATCAAGATTTTGGAAGTTTCAGAGCTCAGACATTAGAATGTATAAGTTTAAGTTAGTTGCTTAAATAGACACTTTTGGAGTGATAACTTTGATTTAACTATAGTCACCATTGTTAAGCTTTGTGCTATTTTGAAAACTTAAGAACATAGTCGTTTTATTTCTATTCTCTTTGTCCGTTGTGAGGTGCTGACTTCAGTGGGAGCTGAAACACATCAAAAGATCAATACCCTTACTGTATAAACTTCAGTTTATAAATCTAAAATTGTTAACTTTTTTCCCTTCAAGTTATGTCATAATAGCATCTGAAGTAGATTTCATAATAAATAAGACTTTATGCCAGCAAAACATTAATGGAGCTCATGCTGTAAAAATAAGATTAGACTGGTGAATTTAGGCTTCCTTCCAATAAATTAGTTGAATACTGGACTGATGCCTTGACCATTTTTTTAAAGAATGATTTTCTAGTTTCTTTTGGCATCATAATAAAAAGCAACTTTGAGGGGAGCTTGTTCTTTTTAATTTCTCAAATATGTTCAGTAATGCAGTTATAAATTGAACCCAGCTGCATTTAGTCTGTGATTTTTATTTAGTTTACARAAAAACCTGAGTGTACGTTTGTGTTTATATGTACACTCACGCATATTTACTCATGTATRTGTGTTTTGAGAGATTTAATGTGGTTTTTCAGATTCAGCATTAAACTAATATACATTGCAGTGATAATGATTTCACTYAATCACCATGGGCTATTCAACAGTTATTTTGTGGTAAGATTTATTTATGAAAGTTGAAAATAAGTACTCAAGAGTGTCAAGAGTGTATTTTAAAATAGATAAAATTTAATCTTAAGAGCACTTACTCTCCTACTTATTCTTCTTTATGGTTTTTTTGAATGCCAGCAAACCAGTCTAGTTCCACGTGCTTTCCATTCTATTTGCTCAAAAGCTGTTGTTAAATAATAAGATTGGGAAAAGGAAAAGCAAATACAATAGACAAATATAATAGACATTTTCTGATAAGAACTGAGATTCTTCAGTGAAAGTTCTCACAATATTGCTAAGAACAAAGTTTTATTTTAAAACGAAGTGAACCAGCTAATCAGAATTGTATCAAGTAAAATACATTTAAGCATTTTCATGTACTTGCTTAAATTCAGAAAGTTTAACTTTGTTAGCTTAACTGATTTTAACTGATTTTATGTTCAGATCTGTGGTGGGTTTAAAAATGCATTTGTTCATTATCTATGAAATTGTTTATGGTTTATAAAATACTTGTGGGTTACCTACTGAATATTGCATATTGAATCTTGCCTTCTGAAATGCATATTAATTTTTAGTCTTATCTATAATTGCTTGAATGTCTTCATAAGATGATGTCCTTTACAAAGTGCAGTGAGAAAAYATGAGTAAAGGTTTTAGAGTTGGTACATTTTTGGAATGGTCCCATTCGGGATTAGGCCCATGACTCCCAGGGCATTGGTGGTGGGGGAGGGACGTCAGCATGCCCGTATTTTATTATGCAGGCGCCAGGGATGCTCTTCACATACCAAATGTTCTGCCACCTGGGACCGGAGTTCCTAATGGCCTTTTAGGAAGCTCTATGTGTGTTTGGTCAGCACTACAGATTTCCAAATATTTGAGCCTCTCATAAGAAAATACTCTGAGTAATAAATGACAGATAATTGTTTTATAACTTATTATGAGAATTTTTCCTGCTAACGGTTGGCAGTATTACAAAAAGGATATCTTTAGTGTTGTAAATAGTGGAACAAATAGTGTGTGTGCAAATAGTGTAACAAATATTAATTGAATACAACAAGTAATAAAGTATGTAAAAAAGAAATATATAAATAAATATTCCAGTGAGAAATGTTTGTGCATCTAAAAGTTACTCACTTTCAGAGGGAACAGTTCTTGACTGGGAGTGTATTATTCCCAAAGTAATTATACCATCAACACAGAAACCACTGTCCTTGTTTGTTGCAGGTTGTAACATGATAATAGCTAACTTATTGTGACTAAAAGGCACTCTCTTGCTTTCTTAGGTGAAGAGCAGATCTTTCTCAAAGGTATTGACTTACTCATGAAAGGCACTGCGTCATATAAATACCAGTGCTTTGAAAGGTTCTCTTATGTTTTTCAAATGGCAGCAGCAAAGTTGACCATTATATGAAGGGAAAGAAGAATTAACAGAAGAAACAACATACCCTGGTCTTTGTAATACTACTGCAAATATAAGTGAAAAGCAAATAATTTGAGGTGAAAATTAAGTCAGATTTATTTTGTTACAACTTTTTTTATAATTTTATTTTTGCAGGGGAAGTCCGTTTGACTCCAGAGGACTTTGCCAGAGCTCAAAAATATTGCAAATATGCTGGCAGTGCTTTGCAATATGAAGATGTGAGCACTGCTGTTCAGAATCTGCAGAAGGCCCTCAAGTTACTCCTTACAGGCAGAGAATGAAGCCTTTGTGCAGCAGATTTGCATCTTTTGCCTAAAGAACTAACAGTTTATTATTGTACCTGTTAGGGGAATGGAGTTATACAGAAGTTCTCAATCCCATTGCCCGTGACAGTGAAATCACTGTTACAATGTCAGATACCAATTAATGGTACAGTAGAAATCACCAGCTGTTTTCATTTTCTGCTCAGTGGAGCTAGAAAAATAAGGAGGCAGTGGATTAATATAAGCAAAATATTGAAGAATGTACTGCAAACACTGCTCAAGAGCTAGAATTCATGTTGCAATATTTAGATAACTGGAGGGGGGAAACACTGAATTTCTAAAATCTTSAACAGATGAGTGTTCTGTTTAAACGCAAAAACAAAACAACAACAAAAAAAGAATATCTTTCACTCTAAATTATTTTGGTATCATCTGAGATCCCAGTCAAAGTTGAGGAAGACTTGCAGGCATTTATATTTCATTTTTAAATATRCTGGAAAGCCATCTCTTGATACTTCAGATAGAGTCATTTTGATGATGTTATTTCCCCACAACTTCATGGACTGCRCTGTGTGGTCTTGATATTGATTCTTGCTCCTTTTGCATGAACATTTAAAATTTATATAGATATGAGTAGTTAAGAGAAAGCACTGATACTAACTGGAGGTGATCCTGAAACYAAGAGATAAAGATTTTAAACAACATGAAATATCAGGGAGATTTACTTCATAGCTGTGCCATCTCTTCAGTAGGCTGAATCATAGACCATTTCTTCAACAATTATTGCAATCAATCTCCGGTATTAGTGTCATAGAGTGTGGTATTTCCAGCCAATATTCTTTTCTGTCCRCTTTGTTGTAGAGACTTTTTGGACTACAGAATTAATTAAAATATCTTTGAAATTGAATTTGGGKTCTTTATAAGTCTGTCCTTGTAATTATAGAGTTCTTTATTAATAAAATCCATCCATGTTGTTCTTTTTAAGAGAGGAAAAAAAAAAAAAGAAAAAGAAAGTCTTTTGTCTAATGTGAACTAGTGAGTGCACCCTAAAGCATGTCTGATTTATGTAAAGCATTTTAATGTCAGATTATGTGGTATGTCTTTCTTTCCAATTTGCCAGATGAAGTGTGTGTATCCTTTGTAGCTGCACTGTTTTCCAGTGACTAAAATGCACCTGATATTTAAAGCAAAAAGAGGAGAAGAAGAAAACCAAACAAAATATAAGGATGCATTAAATTTACCCGCTGGTAACCGATCTGTTGAGAGAGCAGGATTTATTTAACAGTGAATTTGAAAAGGGTAGTATGAAATTAATTGATATATCCTAAAGCAATTAGTTGAGCAAGATTTTAAAAATGAAACAGATCTGATATTTGATTTGTTTTATGCTATGGGATGGTATGCTAACYTGGGCAGTGGTTTGGATTAGATTTGCATGGGTTTCAGAAGCTTAGAATTTTAAACGTTTTGGATAGTAATGCTCTATGAACTTGAGCAGTGAGCCTGTATTTTGTACAGCACTTCACGTAAGTTAAATCCTTCAGTTAGTTTCTGTATCAAGCTGATTAAGTGGAAGTTCTTCCATATGTATATTGCTGTGGGTTATATGGTGATAGGAAAAGCTGCTCTTTGGCTAAGAGGAGAATGGGGGGCATTCATCTGTGTTAAAAATACATATTGGATTACTATAACAATCATGAATTCCTTTCTTTTGTGGATCATATAGCTATTTATAGGTATCAGTTTCAGTCCCAAAAACCTAAAGGAGAAAGATATGTTTTCTTTATTTATAAAACAGCTAAAAGAACTTAGGGAAATTATATTACACATAAAATAACCCAGATATGATATAACACTTGTATGAATTAGRAGATTTTCAAGAATAATTGCTTTTTTAATCTTAGTTATTAAATGATGTGATAAGTAAATAACTAAGAAAGTTGCAAACTAAATTTAAATATTTCTTAACTGTCTGTTGGTTATATTTATGTTGAACCTCTAGAAAAGCAGAGAATCATCAGTGAAAAGCCATAAGTAATAGTATTAACACTTAAAAATGTGTAACTTTCCTGTGTCGAAAAAATAAAACAACTGTTACTGAATGAAATGGAGATAAAAATCCTTGTATTTCATGGAGAAACTGTCTGGTTTGGGGAGGTTTTTTTTTTTTTTTTATGGAAGCCAATACAGTTTGTGCACCTCTCTCTGACCTAAGGTTCTAAATTACATAGTTGTAATTATTTGTTGTAGTTGATTCAACTTAGAGAAAAGACCTGGTTTTTGTAATGTTTTGCTGTGTGAATAAACACTTCCTTTTTGAATATTGTCATCTAAACTGGTGCCTGATGCAAATAGTATATAGCAAAACATTTCAGATTCCATTAAGTATAGCCATGCTTGGGACAACTTAAGTGAGTCAGCCCAAAAGTTGAAGTCAGTGTTGCAGAATAGGCAGGGAAGGTAGATAGACAGCAGATCAATAATCTAAATTAGAATTTGTGACAGACACTGGAATTTATTGCCCCATTGTTAAATATTGTGTCAGCTTAAAGTGCTGAACAACTAATTTTACATCACTCTGAGTATTAAAGTGCCTGCCTATGTATCTCCGTCTTAAACCTAYTTCCAACACGCAGTTTCAATGGGAACTCACCATTTCTTATTGCAAATGTCAGTTGATAACTCTTTTCCACATAAGTTTTTGTTGACCTTTCTCATTTTTATTATGAGTTATCAATCCACTTCAGTGTATAAAAAAAGGAGAAATTTTTCTCCTTTTCTGTGTTCTTTACATTTTAGARTTTTAACCAAATTTAGGAGGCAAAATAGCTATGTATCTCTCTTGCTGTATTGCTGCCTTTCTGTGCACAAATATAGTCACAGCAAAAATGAAGACAACATGAATTTGTATCTGACATTTCACTCCTTCATAAGAAAGGAGTAAATGTTATGTTGCCACCAAAACAATTGGAACATTACATCAACATGTGGAATTTACATGTGATTATAGTGATGGTTCTGAATATGGTGCCCTAAATTACCTCAAAATAGGAACTTTGTAAAGAGCATCAAAAACAAATTTAAAAGAAAGTAAATGCAATGTGCCAGTGGAGAAAAATTTCACCCTGTTCATAACGGCAAAGGACACCCTGAAAGATGGAAGGGAAGAAGCTTCTACTTCAGATGAAAGATTACAGAAAGATATATAGGGCATCTTAACTGGGGAGGAATGTTAAAATGTCACAAATTTGCTCTGAACTGTAGAACAAAATTAAAGGAGAAATATAAACTAGTTGGGGCAATGAAAATGGAGACTTTAAATTTAGCTCTAAAGGGGAAGAAAAAAAAGATATTCTGATATCCCCAGAACTAATATACTCCTTAAAAATTGTCAGATATATTAAATAATAGCTCCTTAAAAATAGTCAGATATATTAAATAATTAATAGTTAATAATGGGGAGCTCTTTCTAGAAAGAAATATTATGAAACTKTGTAAATAACTGACATACAGTTTGTCCTTAAAAGGCTACCTTCTGATTTTGTGCTTCCCTTTTGTTTTGATTTGCCTCCCTTTCTTCTCTGCCTGTATTTGTTTTGTGGTTTTCCCATAGCTAGAGGGGAGATTGCTGTGTTTTCATACAGTGCTATGGATGAGTAATAGCCTACATGTTTAGACCTCCATGAGTAATTTGGGAAGATTAACAGGTTAACAATTTCACCATGTGTAGACCACAGAGCAAATGCAGAGATTTTTACTTCCCTCCAAGCTTCAAAGACCTCTTGGCAACAATATGGCTACAGTATTTGCAGGGTGGCATGTGGAAATGAGAGTCCTGTCGCTCATCAAGGCCCAACAAAGTGTCCAACTCTTGGAGTTYAGAGACCGGCTAAATTTGAAGGACAAAACTCATATCTTATAACCTTAGAATGTTGTCTGAATTGTCGGTAAAGTGTCTTCTGTGATTTCCTATGTCATTTGGTATCGCACTTCAGTGATGAGGGTAGTATTGGAATATAGTCAGATCTGAAATAAAATGTAGTCAGAGATTGTGAATTCTAAGGAAATGTGCACTTACAAACTATGATCAAGTGTAGTAATGCCTTGATAAGCTCTAACAAGTTAGATCTGGTACTGGAAGATTTTTAGTATCAATAGAAAGATGCATGTTTCCTGATTTATTCTATTGCTTGGCAAGGTTTGCATGCAGTAGGATTTTGTGAGCAGAGGGTGGTTCATTTTTATGAGTTCTCATCTTGCTTTTCCTGTTAATAGCTTTTGTGAGTGTCTTACCCTCCKTGGAATCAAATTTGATGCTTCACGGAAATTATAGCTCCTGGTAACTGGTAAAATATGGAGCTCAGTAAAGAAACTAAAACAGTAAATGTGCTAATCTTCATACAGATATGAAAACTTGAGGTTGCAGTTTCTGACAGTGATTTGTCTGGTTGATTAAATCATCTTTTTCTCAACTCATCTGTAGAATGGGCTTCTTTAGATTTAACACTTATAATAATAATAATGCAATATAATAATGCAAATCTGGAATGCATTAGACAATGCTTCAGTGCAGGTTAGTAAGATTGAAATAATGGGTTTGGTTTTGATTATTGTTGATGAAAGTTATTAAGCAGTAATAGATGCAAAGAAATGCTGCTGGGATGACTAAGAAGATGGATAAGCTATTGCAAGTAAATTGAGTTTAATACAGAATGGCTTAGGGCAGCAGGGACAAAAGAGCATTAACATATTTTAAACCCCCTTGATAAATAATATATTGATATGATTCTTTGTAATGCTGAAGTGATTCTGAATTTTTAGATTGTCAGTTTGAGGTCTGGAGAAGGTTTGTCTGACACTTTTTAAACTTGCAACATGAAACTTCTTAGAGATATAAAAGACACAGATGTAAAGCATTTTTTTTTCAGGGTGTGGTGCCACTGAAACATACAACTTTGCAGGACCTGACCGATAGCTAAAATCCTGTAAATTGTTGTAAAATTTGCCAAGCATTTATGTGATGCTGAAAGCAACTGAGTCCATCAGTCCTAGGTGAATTGAGCAACCACTGTCCTGGGAAAAATTCCTTGTTCAGTGTAGATATGAAAGCTGTATTTGTAAATCACGCCTAGACCTCATGATCAGTGCACTTCAGCTCAGCAGCCTTTTGATAACAGAGCTGTATACGTATCTGGCCTTTATCCTGCGAACACTTAATTCTCTGTGTAACTTCATCTGTGTGAATGGTCCTAGTGAGCCAGTACTGAGTACTCCTGTGCTTAAGTGTTTGCTGCGTTGAGGCAGAAACCTTAAACAAGAGGCACATTATTTGATGTTCARTGAAATATAGCTAGAACAATGATGGTGGGGCGCAATCTAGGGTATTGCTAGCTCTCCAACTGTGCACTTTGTAAACTCATAAACTGTAGATTATTTTGGGACAGAAATCTTCGGCCTCTTCCCACTTATATTTTCCCTGAGAAATGCTCAGGTCTTACTTGCTGCTCAGTTGATTTATTTGAAAGATAAAACCTCTTTCTTGRTTTCTGACTTGCAGCTGGCAGGAGTACTTCTGCAAGGGAAATCTGTTGAGTCAGTCTATGTGTTGGGAGATTCCACCATCATCCCTCTGAAACAAAGGCCTTGCTGCTGGCACTTACTGAATGAGTAGTCTGTAAATGTTTGAATTGATGCACAAATATCTAGGAACTTTGAGAAAAAGTACTRAATACTGTGGAAGAAACTTGTTTTATTTATGTGACGAAGAGCCTACTACAATAATCCCCGTGCCTGTTGCAGCCTTAAATAGGATCAAACAGGAACTTGGTGACTTTGTTTAGAAATAAAGGACATTTGCAAAACTGCTGAATAATTTATTTGAGGATTTTGAAATGGAAGTTGCACAAGTCAGTTTTCACACAGGACTGTGTAGGACTCCTGGGAGGATAATGGAAACAGTGGAGGATAATGTTCACTGTTTTTTGATTCGTGAAGAAAAATTATTTTGCAGTGAGGAATCACCCTCTGAAGGAAAATATGCTTACTGCCCTTATGGCAAAGTTATCATTTTGCTGTGCTTATGGTAGGAAAAATCTTAAGCTTTAAAAGATCTTTCACTAAATGACGAAGTTAAGCACTTTCTGGGGACAAAATTAAACCTTTCAATAAATATACAGACTTATATGCAGAGAAGTCTCTGCAATATGAACATTTATGTACAAAAATCATTATTCTTTATGTTCTGTTTGCCTGTCTCTCACTGCTTCAGATTACTGTTCCATGGAAGCAGCCAGCTTGTTCATTCCTGGAGTTATCATGAGTCATAAATACATCACAAACAGTTTAAAAGAAACTCAACCTCTCCCCTGAATGTGGCAACAGTAATGGCAGGTACTTTAATCTTGTGTATAGGTTTTATATTTATGTATATGTATTTTGTTTTTAATAGTTACAACATAATGTCAATTAATTTGAGGTGCTGGTGGATGTTCTCTTTGGAAGATGAGATGCTCATGCAGATTTTTGTCTTTAGAGGCATATCTGCAAATGCAATTTCCAGAAATCCTTATAATTGCTGCAAAAACAGTAGGTTCTTGGAGAAGCAACAGAGA